AGCCTTCCGTCCAAACATAAACAAAGACGATCAAATTGACAAGCAGAAGTCGAAGTACTTTACGTGAATACCTAGCGGTTTTACTTTTACAACCAGTGTGTGGTGGCCCTTTGTGCTTCTTACAGGCAGGTACATGGTTCTGCCAGTCCATGAACAAACAACTTGCTGAGTGCACGAGCTATCTAATCTCTGACCATTGCTGCCCTTTGGGTTCCCGTGGTCCCAGATTATTTATTTATTTATTTATTTATTTACATCAATACATAGAAAGCCTTCTTGGCCAATAATACATGTATCGTTAGATCTATATTCATGTCATTAACTGTATAATTATATATAATAAATGTAATTACAAATTAAAAAAAAAATAAAATAAATTCTATTTACATATGCATACATAAGTGGCCCCCCAGCCGAATAAATTATTACCAAATATAATTTAAAAAGAAAAAAAAATATTCTTAACACTACTCAAACCCATCAAAAACCGGAAATATAATATAACACATAATTTTGAGTATAACTTTGTTATTAATTGTAATAAGTAGAGCGAAAAAATTCTAAAATTTTTTTCTTATAAGTATAATTTGAATATGAAAACAGTCTTAGTGCATTGGGTAAATTATTCCAAATTCGACTTATTCTTATAATGAAGGAACGTTCAAATATTGACATATGTATACGATGTATATCAATTTGGCTATTACGAGTTGAATTAAGAAATGAAAAACTATTAACAAGAGAAGGAGGTTGTCCATTTTTCATGACTTTGTAAAATTGAAGCAAAAGCCTTAATTTTACATAATCATTAAAGTTAACGCCTAAAAATTTAGAAACAGCTTCAGTAACACGTTCATGATCATTCAATCGAAGATTGAACACATAACGAACAATTCTCCTTACAATTCTCTCAAGACGATCAAAATTGCTGGATAATGTTCCAGAATAAACTTCAAGACAGTAGTTTACTTTCGACATAAGTAAGGAATGTGCTAATCTATGTCTGATATGAAAAGGTGTGTATGACTTTAGGGCATATAATCTTCTTAGTATGAAACTGATTCCATTAAAAACTGAATCAACATGACCATTAAATCTAAGATTGTTATCAATAATAAGACCAAGACATTTAATTACATCAACATGTTGGATGTTTATTCCATTTATACGTATTTGTGGATAGAGAGCTGGGGAATTTGGTATTCCAAAGTAAATAGCTTTTGTTTTTGCTGAGTTTATATCGAGCAAGTTTTCTCGCATCCAATTGTAAATGGAATCCATATGGTCATTTAAACGATTATTACAAATGCTATTTCTAACAGAATTGACATCATACAACAGGTATATATCGTCTGCAAAAACGTATAATTCACATAAACTATTAGATAAGTCAGAAGTAAAATCATTTAAATATAACTGAAAGAGCAGGGGCCCCAAAACAGAGCCCTGAGGCAAACCAGATGTAACATGACCAACTGTCGAGTTAACATTACCAAACGAAACAAATTGAGACCGTTCTGATAGATACGAAAACATTAATCTACACGCAGGTGCGGAAAAAGAAAAATTTTCATATAGCTTCCTTATAAGAATTTTATGATTAACAAGATCGAATGCCTTCGTTAGATCTAAGGATACCATTACACAATTAGAGTGAGCATCTAGTTTACGTCGTATAGAGTCTGTCATAGAAATAAGAAGAGAGGTCGTGTTGTAATTTTGGCGAAATGCATATTGATTAGGGTGTAGTAGTCTTCGAGTATGTAATAAAATTTGTTCATACATTAAATTTTCAACTATTTTTGACATGGCGGGTAAAATTGTAATTGGTCTTAAATTGTCAGCATTGTAGTTTCCATTCTTCGGAATAGGTATAACTCTTCCTAAGTTATATTATAAGGCTCTCTCGTTCAACACCAAGTCAACATTCCAAGGAAAGAACGAGAATACATTTAACATAATAGTCCCGGCAGACTAGAGATACTGATAGCACATCTTTTCCCCCGGATTGCAATCACACCAAGATGCTGAACCGGAGGCATCTATCAACAGTATCAATACCTCACCACGACAATTGGATTTTCGCCCCTGCAGCTAAAGATTGCCAACAACCTAAATTTTTTGCGCCAGGAAAGGACTTTCGATCACCGTTGAACTGTTACAACAAAGTATAAACAAACTTATAATTATAATAACAAAGAATATATATAATAACATGAAACATGTTTTGTTTAAAAATAAACCTAAATCCTAAATAAACTTAAACAATAAAATTCTTTAAAAACATCAAGGCATTAGTAATTCAGTTTAAGAGCTATTTACCATTTTAGATGATTATGGATTCCTTGAAACTTGAAATTTACATTTTTATGTAATTTATAACTTGAAATTTACATTTTTATGTAATTTATAACTTTAATGAATTTTATACTTATTTTAACTAATTTTAAAACAAACACAACTTTTTGTTTTCTTTAGCAAAAAGACAAATTTTGTTTAACTTCTTTTTAAAACAAACACAAACACACTTTTCTTTAGTGAAGCACACATTTTCTCCACACTTAAACAATTGCATTAAATTTATTTCTATAATTTCACACATTTTTAACTATTTTCATAAAATTATTAAAAATTTTTCTATTTTTCTTTTTATTTTGTGTTATTTAAACACAATCTCTATTTTTGCGCACTTTACAATAAGTAAACAAACAAATCTGACAGTTACTTAACCCCAGGTTGCCAACTTAAAAACATAATTGACCGTTAAACTTGACAACACATGACAAAATATGTATTTCTGCAACACCCTGTTCTCACAATTCCATTTAAACTTAAAAAATTTGACAACTATTTGCATAATAGTGTCAAAAAATTTTACATACTTCGTTGTTGGGAACGTGTGGACAGAGGTCTGTGGCAATTTAAGCAAAAAAAGTTTTTTTTAGTCTTAAAGTTAAGGTAATTAATACAATTTATTAAATATTAAAATAAATTGCAAATGTGTGTATAAATTGAACATAAAAAAAAAAAACATTCATATCCATGGTGTTTTGTTTATATGTGGACAACAGTAAAGAAATTTGCTACAACCAAAAACAATTACATAACCTCTGATGATTTTTTCTTTTATAAGTGTTAAAAAAACTAATAATTTCATTGAAAAATACTTAATAGTTGCAATTTGTGTTATGACGGTACATAATTTCTAATCGAAATGTCTTTTACTTTTAGCTAACATAACGTTAACAAGATGCGTCTTACCTCTTACTTGAATGGTCAACATTTCGGCAACCTTGCCAAGATTCACAATATTGTGACCTACAAGATTTCTCCCTTCGAACAGAGAGCCTTTGCCGGTGCTATTAAAAATGGTGTACCAAATATGTTCCGCCGTTTCCGTTCCAATGTTTTCATTGTTACACCACGTATGTATAAAATTGTTAACTAATTAATTAATTTTTAATTCCTATTTAATCCCTTGCATTTTTAGCTTTCATTGTTGGCTATTTGATTTTCAATTTGGTTGAGGCTCAACATCATCACTTGACTCGCAAGAACCCTGCCGAGTTCGCAAATGATGAATAAATTGTTTATGTTATAAAAACACTTATAAAAGAATAGTGATAAATTAATAAACTCTAATTTAAATAACATAATATACAAGCCTGCCTCATTGTTTCTTAAGCCGTGGAAAATGCACCATCGTTTGTTTTCTGCTAATTCTGAAGTATAATTCGATTTAAATTTGAAAAAGTTTCGAAATATATTAAAAAGTTCTGTAATACGGTTGGAAATGTATCTTTATAAATTCCTAGATGTTTGTTTACCACAAAAAAATAATTATCAAAATTAATGTTGAAGCTTGGTTCTTTAGTTGAAATAAAAAGTCAAAATTGGAGATAGAAGTGGGGACCAATCGTCCTATATTTCCCTCTCACTCCATATTTCCCTCTCACTGTCTCATGCGAATGTCTCGGTTTACTTCCTATGCTTGTTCCGTTGCGATTTTTTAAGAAAACCTATTTGTCCTATACACATTTATTCGAAATACTTGAGTTTTTACTAAGCTAACTGTTATCGGCGACTTATCATCACTAAAACTTTATAAAGTACATTTACAGGGGTTTTATTACATTCTTAAGTTTTATTAAACTTATTTTGAAACGTTTTTTTTTTGCGATTTTTATGTTTCCCTCCAAAAAAAATATTTTTGGATGAAAAATTATAAAAAATATTTCGAATTCGCTTTCCTTTTTGATTCACCTAGAGTTTTTATTGGCCTTAGATTTTTTTACCTTATGAAGGCGAACCTCTAGCAAATTATATTCGGACAGCCGAATTTATTTTTTATATATAGCAAACATCACCGGTTATCGGCTATTAAACAAAATTCAGGTTTCAGGTCCCAAACACATACAATACTTTACGTCGATCTGCTACTAATGGGTCGTGTTTTATGTGTGTATTTAAATGAGAGCGGTCACAATCAATACGTCGAACTAGTGCAAAAAGTAGAAAAGTTGAAAAATATTAAAACTTTGGCGTACGAAAAAGAAAAGAAAGTGAAAATGAGAACAAAAACAAAACTGTCGAAATTATTTTTTGTCTATTTTGATGTTAATATTTTTTCTATTATAAAAACATATATAATTATTTTTTTATACTTTATCAACGCAACGATTGGCCATTACTTTTTTATGTGCGTAGCTGTCTTCCAATTTTTATATTAAATGAAATATCACGGAAACCCAAAAAATCTGGCATCCCTATTAATATTTGTTTGAAACACCCTATTCATTTTTTTACAATAACATTTGTCAAACTATCAGCTGACTTGGTTTTTTTGTTGGAAAAGTAAAAAAGAAAAATTTATCAGCCACAAAGAAAACAACAAAAAAATTAAATAAACACAAATATATCCATCTATCCTCCGTTTTAATTCAAAAGTAAATTGTTTTATAATTAAATTATTGCATTAATTAACATTAATTCTTATTAGCCCATGCCGTTATGAGTGATTGCTGTAATAGTGAATTACGCAGCGAATCCATAAACAACATGTTAAATGTCATTGTAGATTCCAAAATTATAAGTATTGAAGTATTTACGGCAGCTGTGGCGATACTCTTTGTGGTGGTCCTACTAAAAAACAAATTTCGTAACTTTTGCGGAACATGAATTTCGGGGGCGCATTGTTATAAGTGGAACGGAGAAAAATTGGACAACAAGGAATCATTTTAGGACAGGTGTATTATGGAGGCTTAAGAATATAACATACATATAGTATATACAACATACATACACATACAAAATATTATAAATTTTTTGTAAATATATAAATGACTCAACAACCAAAATAATTATATTTTCGTTTGAAGAAAGGAAGGGCTCTATGTAGTACTAGTCGGGTTTTCAAGTTTTATTTTGAACTGATTTACATATATTAATAGGAATATTTTAAAATTTTGATTGCGGAAATTATACAGTCTGCAACTGTTATAATATGGTATTTAGTAAAATTTGTTTAATTGTTCATTAAGAGCATTGTGTTGTAAATTATCTGTTTAAACAAAAACGTGCATTGTAAAAGGTACTACACCATTTTCTATATTAATTAAGAAATTATCTTTTTTATCGAAAAATTTTTTCAGTAAAAATGTTGATAAGAAGAATGGAAAGCAGACTTTATAATATTAAAATTTTTATTTAAATTTAATATAAACGATAAAAACTGAGGTTTGGAGATAATGGTTCTCAGATAACAAGTTTTAAATATTTGGGTTGTTTTAAATGCAATAATAGAAAATTCCAAAATAATTTTCCTGCTGTAATGTTCGTCCATATGACGGGGCATATTAGGGTATTAGATATCAAAATCTCCAATTAAAGTCTATTCAGATTCCGATTGACGACCGTATTTATGTATGTTAGTTAGTTAGTTAGTTCGTTAGTTAGTTAGTTAGTTAGTTAGTTATTTAGTTAGTTAGTTAGTTAGTTAGTTAGTTAGTTAGATAGATAGATAGATAGATAGATAGATAGATAGTTAGTTAGTTAGTTAGTTAGTTAGTTAGTTAGTTAGTTAGTTAGTTAGTTAGTTAGTTAGTTAGTTAGTTAGTTCCATCGGATCTATTGAATTCTTTGTCCACATTCAATTACTTACATTTTCAAGAAAATTTGAAAACCAAAAACCCCAATTTTATAGTTGGATCTTAAATTCACCTCATTTCTGTTCATAACACCTGTATTTTCTTTCTAAAGATTGGCAACTCTATTGTTTGTTTTCACCAAATTTTGAATGACATTTACATTTTAATCGTGTTGTATTGTTTGCTTTCCATACACTTTTTGTATTGTTTTCTGCTTTTTCTACATATAATTTTTCGTACATATAAATTGTGTTTTTTTGCTACATGGACTATATTCTATAATGTATTTAATAAATAATATAAATTCTATAAATTAATTTTTATAAGCTAATAACATTATAAAATAGATTTCGGAAAGTTTTTATATTATGTGTGCATTTTTACCCCGGCTGCATGGCAATTTATAAAATAAACGGGGTCAACAAATAACCTTTCAACAATTTTTACAAAAGAAAATCTATTGTAAGTTCTTGTGTTTTTTTTTGTATTTTAAATATAACTTCATTTGCCATTAAAACATTTGGGGCAAAAAAAAAAAAAAACTAGGAGAGTGATTGATTATTGATGCCAAATTAGTGAATTGCAAAGTTTTGCGGTGTTTTTGGTTTAATTATTTGGGTTGTAAATCGCTGTGCATATAAATGATCTACATATATAAATATGTATATAGTCATATAAATATGTATGTAGATAAGTATGTACATATTTACACACAACATACATGTAGAGATTATCATTATCAACATATTAGAAAATTTAACTTTATCTATGGGGATTGTGTGTAAAATTGTTAATCGGTGCGATTGTATATAATTATACTATTTTTTAAACATTTAAACAATAAGAAAAAATTGCATTAATACATTTATCATTCAAAATTTAGAATTCTTAACAAAATGTTTAATTTTCAAATTTCAGATTAAAACAAGTGTTTATACCTATTTAAACGATATTTGTTTACAATGTCGAGACGTTCATCAAATACTGGTTCAGTGGGTGTAGCTATGCAGGGTACAGTTAGTGATGATGGTCCTAGACCACCGCCACGACGTCGCTCTGCTTCAGTTGCTGGACAGCAAAGTCGTACCTCGTCTACAACATCACATTATAGTAATAATGGTGTGCAGAATTCTCGCCGCTCCTTGTCAACTTTGGTAAGTTTTATTTTTAGGTTTAATCATAGGTTTCCACATAATAATCGGAGAATGAAGTATTTATAAGGGATTGAGTTGAGTTGAATCAGAATCTGACCTCATAATTTTTCCAACGTATCAGCTTTCCGATATATTGTGTCTGTTATAAAATCACAAATATGACAAAAAATGTTGGTTACCCAGTTTTTAGGACACGATAATTCGAAAACCTAATATAAAAGGAAAAGAGACGTATTTTATAAATATCTTCATTAAATGAGCACAATAGTGTCAATTTAAGAAATTAACAAGTAAGAGTGTTATATTCGGCTGTGCCGAATCTCATATACCCACCATCAAACCGTATGCCGTAAAAGGAATGCTCCCCCATAAACATCAGCGTGATATTTGGAATATGGCTTAAGTCAATTATGGCCCGAGCTCTTTTGAACTAACAAAATATTAATTAAAAAAAACAAATATTTTATTTCAATTCTAAAACCGTGAGCGTCAATTATGAACCGATACTCATAAAATTTTGTACATAGATTATGTATAGGACTTGTTTATGCAAAATTTCAGCGCTATACTCGTATTTTAAATAAGGAACACTCGTAGTTATTAACCAAAACTCTTTCCTGAAGGGAACCTTTTGTGTATTAGCAACACATTCCGCATGGAATTCGGAGCGAATTTCATAACCGTATTTCATAACTCATATTTCTAAGCCAGTAATGATCGTTTAAGTAATTTTCTGAAGGGGACCTTATATGGGCGGTAGGGTAAATTATGGACCGATCTTGCCTAAATTTGGTGAAGAGATTTTGGCACGCATTAAACTTATGTGCGTCAATTTTCGTCACATTCATAATTTTAAGCCAGTAATGAGCATTGTAGTTATTTGCAGAGGGAGACCTTATATGGGGGAAGGGTCATTTATGGGCCGATCCAAAAAAATTGGTACAGAGGTTTTGGCTCATAAGAAACTTACGTGTGTAGCATTTCATCGCTTTACTCGTATTTTTAAGACAGTAATGAGCGTTTAATCTAATACCTGAAGTGGACCCAATAGGGGGAGTAGGGCCAATTATGGACCTATCCACATAAAAGTTATTAAAAAGATTTTGGCTCGCGAGGAACTTAATTGTGTAAATTTTATTGCTATATTCATATTTTTTAGCCAGTAATGAGCGTTAAAGTCATTTTCAGAAGGGGACCTTATATGGGGGATAGGGTCATTTATGGGCCGATCTTAAAAAAAATTCGTAGAGCGATTTTGGTTCGTAAGAAACTTACTTATACCGAATTTCATCGCTATACTCGCATTTTTGGAGCAGTAATGAGTGTTAAAGTAATTTTCTAAAGGGGACCTTATATGGGGGGTAGGGTTAATTATGGACCGATCTTCAAAAAATTTGGTAGAAAAATTTTGGTTCACATGAAACTTATTTATGTCGAATTTCATCGCTATACTTGCATTTTAGAGCCAGTAATGAGTGTTAAAGTCATTTTCAGGAGGGGACCTTATATGGGGGGTAGGGTCATTTATGGGCCGATCCTAAAAAAAATTGGTTAAAAGGTTTTGGTTCGTAAGAAACTTACTTATACTGAATTTCATCGCTATACTCGAATTTTTAGGCTAGTAATGAGTGTTAAAGTCATTTTCTAAAGGGGACTTCATATAGGGGGTAGGGTCATTTATGGGCCGATCCTAAAAAAAATTGGTAGAGAGATTTTGGTTCGTAAGAAACATACTTATACCGAATTTCATCGCTATACTCGAATTTTTAGGCTAGTAATGAGTGTTAAAGTCATTTTCTAAAGGGGACTTTATATAGGGGGTAGGGTCATTTATGGGCCGATCCTAAAAAAATTGGTAGAGAGATTTTTGTTGGTAAGAAACATACTTATACCGAATTTCATCGCTATACTTGCATTTTGGGACCAGTAATGAGTGTTAAAGTAATTTTCAGAAGGGGACCTTATATGGGGGGTAGGGTCATTTATAGGCCGATCCTCAAAAAATTTGGTAGAAAGATTTTGGCTCACATTAAACTTCATTATGTCGAATTTCATCGCTATACTCCTACTTATAAAACAGTTATGCCCGTTAAAGCTATTTTTTGGGGGTCCACCTGTATGGGGGCTATCCGAAAAAGTGGACCGATATTGTCCATTTTCAATACCAAACAAACCTTAATAATAGAGAATGTTTATGCAAAATTTCAACTGTCTAGCTCCTCTCGTGTGGTCCCTATCGTGATTTCAACAGACAGACGGACAGACGGACAGACGGACGGACGGACGGACAGACGGACAGACGGACGGACATGGCTAGATCGTCTTAGAATTTAATAAGGACCCGGAATATATATACTTTTATGGGTTTATGACCAATATTTCGATGTGTTACAAACGAAATGACAAAATCAATATACCCCCCATCTTTTTTGATGGTGGGTATAAAAAGAAAAAAAATTAACAAAATTTATTAGAATCATAAAATCTTTCGTAATAATTTCAATATTCGTTAGAAATGTGTGACGCCTTTATTATGCAGAATTATTTACTGTATGCTCTACAAACTTAACTGTATTTTTTTTATTCAAACCTTATATTAATATTTTTATAAAAGAAAATGTTAATAAGTAATTTTTAGTAGCAACCTAGAAAATGTCAAACTTATTATATTTTATCAAAATCTGGCAACTGTTTATAAGACAAATATATATTCAACCAGATGGTGTTAATACACCAGCTGATCTTTTATTTTCCCTTTGGTATAAATAAAACTGTCAAATTCACTGGTTTTCTTAAATACAAGAAAATACGTAAACAACAAAAACCACAAGTAACTTCTGACAGTTAAAAAACACTTGACAAAACAAAAATATTTGTTATTGTATTTCAATTTCACATGTAAATACCCTGTTAAATACTCCCCCCATGAAGGTACATTTTTAGACTTAACATCTATAGAGTATATATCGGGTTGGTGTGTGTGTCTGTATATGCGCGGACATAAGTTGGGGTGTCGTAGTTTAATTATAAAATGAAATTTCAATTATTATAACTATGCTAGATTTAGCACTTTATTTTTTACGAAAATACAAGTACGAATAAGATTTTTTAAATGTTAATCGAAAGTTGAACGCTAAAGGATCTTATCTTAAAAGTGAAGTGTTTAAAAATTTAGAATAATGAAAAAATAAGGTGTTACCTTGGAATGAAAAAAAGAAAAAACTGTCAGTATTACATACTATAACAAGGAGTAGAAACGGAAAAAGTACTTTACATATGCCAAACTTAAACATTTAATAACAACAAAAACTACAATATATCTTATCATTAAAGTGCAAGTGTCTGTTGGTCGGTCGGTTAGTCGTTCGGTCTGTCTGTCCGTTTGTCTCTTTGTGAAAGTAATTATTTATTTATTCTTTCTTAACTTTATTATTATTTTATAATGTACTACATAGAATTGGATTTTTGACAATTAGTCATGCTGAAAAAAGGTTTAGTACTATAATTCTAAAGAATTAAAATGTAAAGTGTCGTCATCGTTTGTTCATGTAGTGAAAAAATATTAATTAAATTATGAAATAATTAAGCCGAGAAAAGTGAAAAAAAACAACAAAAAGCCTATAAAAATTTCTTACCAGCCAAAAAGTACATTCGATAAAAGCTTTAACAAAACAAAAGACAACAAAATCTAAAAAATATAAAAAAGTAAAACAGTATAATATACAAAAAAAAAAGTAAAAAGTAAATTCCAAAAAAATATGTACTTATCTTAATCTTAAAATTATCATACAAACTTGCGGCGTATTGTTTTTGTAGTCGTACTTGTGAGAGTGTGTTAAATTTTTTTGCAACATGTTTCAACTTTATACATTGAGAAGATAATTAATTAATAAAAAAAAAACAGAAAGAAAGACAAATATTATTATTTTGGGAATTATTGCACTTAATATACATTTAATGAACATTTCAACATAATGGCTGAAGCACTGGCTGAAGGACAAATTCATGGTTATAGTGATGTAAGTTGAACTTGTATTTTAAAGGTTGATATTGTTGTAGTTTCTTTTAAGGTTTTTTACTTTTACGTTTCTTTTCGCAAATGTACTACTGGAATTAGGGAGATATTAATGAGTAACTACCGCAACAATAATGAATATTTTATATCAAGTTCTTAAGCAATTTATAATCTTGGATTAAAAGGGTAGCTTAACTTGAAATTTTGTTTATGAAAAATACCTGTTGTAACAAAAAATAAATTAGAACCTGTTTATTTTGTAATTAATATAACTCCGTCAAACATTATAGAATAAGCAAATCAAAAAAGTCAAATCAAAACCAATGACTTAAAGTTCAGTTCTAGTTCAGTTATAGTTTAGTTGTAGTTCAATTCTAGTTCAGTTCTGGTTCAGTTCTAGTTCAGTTCTAGTTCAGTTCTAGTTCAGTTCTAGTTCAGTTCTAGTTCAGTTCTAGTTCAGTTCTAGTTCAGTTCTAGTTCAGTTCTAGTTCAGTTCTAGTTCAGTTCTAGTTCAGTTCTAGTTCAGTTCTAGTTCAGTTCTAGTTCAGTTCTAGTTCAGTTCTAGTTCAGTTCTAGTTCAGTTCTAGTTCAGTTCTAGTTCAGTTCTAGTTCAGTTCTAGTTCAGTTCTAGTTCAGTTCTAGTTCAGTTCTAGTTCAGCTCTAGTTCAGTTCTAGTTCAGTTCAGTCCTAGTTCAGTTCTAGTTCAGTTCTATTTCAGTTCTAGTTCAGTTCTAGTTCAGTTCTACTTCAGTTCTAGTTCAGTTCTAGTTCAGTTCTAGTTCAGTTCTAGTTCATTTCTAGTTCAGTTCTAGTTCAGTTCTAGTTCAGTTCTAGTACAGTTCTAGTTCAGTTCTAGTTCAGTTCTAGTTCAGTTCTAGTTCAGTTTTAGTTCAGTTTTAGTTCAGTTCTAGTTCAGTTCTAGTTCAGTTCTAGTTCAGTTCTAGTTCAGTTCTAGTTCAGTTCTAGTTCAGTTCTAGTTCAGTTCTAGTTCAGTTCTAGTTCAGTTCTAGTTCAGTTCTAGTTCAGTTCTAGTTCAGTTCTAGTTCAGTTCTAGTTCAGTTCTAGTTCAGTTCTAGTACAGTTCTAGTTCAGTTCTAGTACAGTTCTATTTCAGTTCTAGTTCAGTTCAGTTCTAGTTCTAATTCAGTTCTAGTTCTGTTTTATTAAATTTAAATTCTAGTTCTTTTCTAGTTTAGTTCTATTATAATTAAATTCTTGTTCTATTATATTTTAGTTCTAGCACAGTTTCAGTAAAGTTCTAAAAAAAGATCCATATCTCGCTTCACAAAAAATATTTTTCCGCAAAAACTGATACCGTTGAAGTATATCGTTACTATAAATAAAAATTTAGTTATAATATTAGTCATAGTAATTCTATATTCTTATTTTACCAGATATTTACCCTCTTTCCATCTCTAATAATAAAAATAAAACTGATTTTATATATATTTTTTATGGGTTTCTACTTTAGAATGACACATCAGATACATGCCGCTTGCGAATTGTTGTTTTGAACGGAAAAACCTTAGCAAAAAAGGACATTTTTGGAGCCAGGTAAACTTAAGAAAAAGTCTTTTGAAAGTAATATGAATTTATATTTGATTAAATAATTTGATTATTCAGTGATCCTTACGTGAGAATTGATCTCAATACAATAAATGGTGACATCAATATTGACTCTGTTTTAACGAAAACCAAGAAAAAGGCAAGTATTATAATAAAAAAAAACAAAAAATACTTTACTAACAAAATTTTTAATAACATTACTTTAATTCTAGACTCTTAATCCTACATGGAATGAAGAATTTTTATTTAGAGTAAGTAAACCATATTAATTAGCAATTGCAATTGTTATTTAAATATTAATAAAAATTATTTTTTTCCCCACATAAGGTCAAGCCCTCTGAACACAAATTGGTATTTCAAGTATTTGACGAAAATAGACTTACAAGAGATGACTTCTTGGGCATGGTAGAATTAACATTGGCAAACTTGCCAACCGAACAAGAGGGAATAGTTTTAGAACCGCAAAGTTATCCTTTAAGGCCTAGAAGGTCAGTAGGGTATGTTTTCTTTTGAATACTTTTTTTTATTTAATTTTAGTTTTTGTTTTGAAAAATTGAGAAAGAGAAAACCAATCTTAAAAGTGTGAGTGACAGAGTTAAAGATGTTAAGGAATATTTGTTAATTTATGTTCCATGAAATAAAATGTGTGTCTCATTCAAATCCGCATTATTGTGATTGCACTAACGTGTTAAAAATACGCTTAAACGTTATTTAAAATAAGCATAATGGTAGTAAAGCAGTGTTTTATGTTTCGTCTATATTCATTAATTTAAAAACTAACAATTATATATTCATTGTTTTTGTGTGCTAAAGTGCCGCCTCATTGCAATAAAAACAACAAAAGAGCCGCTTAAATTAATTCTTACTTTAATGTTTCTATAACTTTAGTGCTAAATCGCGCATTAAAGGAACTCTGGAAATCTATCATGCATTTATACATGAACAAAGAGAAACGGTGGAACCGACATCTAATTCAAACGAGTGGGAACATGTTGAAATTGTTTCACTAACCGGTGCAGCTCAGGTATTATAGATTTTTTATACAATTTATTTTGTAAAATACAATTTATTTTTCTTAACAAATAAATTAGAATGCTCCTACCGTTAATGGTGGAAATGATATATTGCCACCGGGTTGGGAAGAACGTCAAGATGCCAATGGTCGTACGTATTATGTTAATCACACCGCTCGAACCACACAGTGGGAAAGACCAACTATGTAAGTTTATATTTTTTAAGTATATAAACAGTTGATGAAACTTGTGTGCATTTTTTCTTTTATTTTTTCCTATTCATTATAGTTTAAATACGAATCATGCAAGTGATAATACGGAAGCTGCCGCATCAGATTTCCAAAGACGATTTCACATTAGTGTGGATGATTCCGAAACAACTAGAGCTGCAGCGGTAAGTAAATATAATAATTGTTTTATTTCTAAAAGGAAAAATCTTTATACAATATTATTAAAATGTAGATTAAGGGAATTTGAAGGAATTTAAATAATCAAATAGGAGGGAAATTTAACAATGTGTCTGTCTAAGGGTGGGTTTCTTATTACTCAGTTAAATGTTGATTAACTTGCTGATTACTGAAAAACACATAATTTTGATTAAACTAGGTTTAAACAAAGAATGTAGTTTAAGTCGACCAAAATGTCTGTTTTGATAAACAATACTGAAAATATTCAATACAAATTGAACCAAACTATTGAAGAATTGTAGAACAGATAGTTAAATAATTAAAATACAATATTGTGTTGAATTTCTCATAAATTTCGAATCACATCGTTAAACCTTTCTAATTTTTCCTTTTATTTTCAAATCAGTACCGTTTAAGAGGTTTATCAAATCGTGACTTCAATCAGCCCATTAATATTTTAACTAATAACAACTTAAAACATGCAGACGACCTTACTGAAAACGACTCGAACAGTAGTCTTAGCAGATCTTTTAGTACAGACAGTTCCTGTAGTGGAACATGTAGCGAAATTGAATGTACATCGATAAATGAACATTCCAACAGCCATTGTTGTAATTGTGGTACAGTTCAAAATCAATTGGACAGTGAAATCAATGAATTGATACGTTTAGGAAAAATCGATAATCAAGAAAGTATTGATGAGGATGTTATAAATCGTATTGTCCAAAATCATCAATGTTCAACAGGCAGTAACAGCATGGGAAACAGCAATATTACTAAACAGGAAAGAATTTGTTGTGTTTTTAGCTTGTAAACTTTCATAATATTCCTATTAGTATCAGCTAGTATTTGCATTGAGTTTAGCAATTTAATATTATTTTTAGAAGTTTTAAATTACATATTAACAAAGTCCCAAAAGTAGATAGAAGTTTTTAATCTTCATATAAACATTTTATTTATGTAGTTTACTTCAAAGGCTTGCCTTAAACCCCTCTTCACTAAAATATAGAATTTAATGTATGGAATATCCATACCTCTTCACTAAAATATGGAATATACAGTTAAATTCTACTTCAGTTCTAGTTCAGTTCTAGATCAGTTCTAGTTCAGTTCTAGTTCAGTTCTAGTTCAGTTCTAGTTCAGTTCTAGTTCAGTTCTAGTTCAGTTCTAGTTCAGTTCTAGTTCAGTTCTAGTTCAGTTCTAGTTCAGTTCTAGTTCAGTTCTAGTTCAGTTCTAGTTCAGTTCTAGTTCAGTTCTAGTTCAGTTCTAGTTCAGTTCTAGTTCAGTTCTAGTTCAGTTCTAGTTCAGTTCTAGTTCAGTTCTAGTTCAGTTCTAGTTCAGTTCTAGTTCAGTTCTAGTTCAGTTCTAGTTCAGTTCTAGTTCAGTTCTAGTTCAGTTCTAGTTCAGTTCTAGTTCTAGTTCAGTTCTAGTTCAGTTCTAGTTCAGTTCTAGTTCAGTTCTAGTTCAGTTCTAGTTCAGTTCTAGTTCAGTTCTAGTTCAGTTCTAGTTCAGTTCTAGTTCAGTTCTAGTTCAGTTCTAGTTCAGTTCTAGTTCAGTTCTAGTTCAGTTCTAGTTCAGTTCTAGTTCAGTTCTAGTTCAGTTCTAGTTCAGTTCTAGTTCAGTTCTAGTTCAGTTCTAGTTCAGTTCTAGTTCAGTTCTAGTTCAGTTCTAGTTCAGTTCTAGTTCAGTTCTAGTTCAGTTCTAGTTCAGTTCTAGTTCAGTTCTAGTTCAGTTCTAGTTCAGTTCTAGTTCAGTTCTAGTTCAGTTCTAGTTCTGTTCTAGTTCAGTTCTAGTTCAGTTCTAGTTCAGTTCTGTTCTAGTTCAGTTCTGTTCTAGTTCAGTTCTGTTCTAGTTCAGTTCTAGTTCAGTTCTGTTCTAGTTCAGTTCTGTTCTAGTTCAGTTCTGTTCTAGTTCAGTTCTGTTCTAGTTCAGTTCTAGTTCAGTTCTGTTCTAGTTCAGTTCTGTTCTAGTTCAGTTCTAGTTCAGTTCTAGTTCAGTTCTAGTTCAGTTCTAGTTCAGTTCTAGTTCAGTTCTAGTTCAGTTCTAGTTCAGTTCTAGTTCAGTTCTAGTTCAGTTCTAGTTCAGTTCTAGTTCAGTTCTAGTTCAGTTCTAGTTCAGTTCTAGTTCAGTTCTAGTTCAGTTCTAGTTCAGTTCTAGTTCAGTTCTAGTTCAGTTCTAGTTCAGTTCTAGTTCAGTTCTAGTTCAGTTAGTTCTAGTTCAGTTTAGTTCTAGTTCATTTCTAGTTCATTTCTAGTTCAGTTATAATTCAGTTCTAGTTCTAGTTCAGTTCTAGTTCAGTTCTAGTTCAGTTCTAGTTCAGTTCTAGTTCAGTTCTAGTTCAGTTCTAGTTCAGTTCTAGTTCAGTTCTAGTTCAGTTCTAGTTCAGTTCTAGTTCAGTTCTAGTTCAGTTCTAGTTCAGTTCTAGTTTAATTCTAGTTCAGGTCTAGTTCAGTTCTAGTTCTGCGGTAATTGTATATATGCATGATCTCTGAAAAGGCTTTTAGAATTATTCGACGAAGTAGAAGTAAAATAGACTTTTGAAAAGATTAAGCATGGAGCATATATATTTACTTACTCTTGCAAATATTCTTCGAATAGTAATTTCCGTTAATGAATAGCGGTGATGAAAAGATAAAAAATTAATTTCATTTTTACATTTTTGAAGCTTTAAAAGTATAAATGCTAGATTTAAATTTGGGTTTAATACTAAGTGGTTAGAAAAATGTCATACCTTAGAATCGTAGTTATGTATATTTCAAACCTTATGTAGTAACTTTGTAGTATTGGTAGTATTCCAAAAAAAAAAAAAAACAATTTATTATTAGCAGAGTTATATTATTATCTGAAAATTGTTTTGTACGCTACTGTCTATATTAAAATACTTTTTACTAAATTATGGCAATATTAATTATAAATACTATAATAATGCAATGGGTTTTCTAATAATTTAGCAGAACGATGATGGCGACCAGATCGATAGTGGAAATCGTTCTCAAACATCAGGGTCATCAACTAGGCGCAATTCAGTTGAAGATAACAACGCCGCTGTAACAGAGCAGGTAAATAGCTATAAATTGAAGGCATAATCATAAAATAGAATTAAATACATAGTTTAGTTTAGTATTAAAAAATTACTCGTAGATACGTGATCAAAAAAACTATACAATTCTCAGAAAACTATAAAATAAATTGCTATATTTGAACACGTGCTTAGAAGAAAATTTCAATGTTTTAAAATGCTTACATAATGCATATTTCTATCCATTTAAAAACAAATATATATATATAGCCTCCACCCACTACTGAAGAAGAAGAGCCCTTACCTCCTAGATGGTCAATGCAAGTGGCGCCTAATGGACGTACATTCTTTATTGATCATGCTGCTAGACGCACTACATGGATAGATCCACGCAATGGACGCGCTAGCCCTATGCCTAATCAAACACAACAACGTGGTGAGGATGATTTAGGACCACTGCCCGAGGGTTGGGAAGAGCGTGTACATACAGATGGTCGTGTCTTTTATATAGATCACAGTAAGTTTTATATTTTTATCGAAAGAAATAAAGAGGTTCTATTTAATTTTGTTGTATTTTCTTAGATACAAGGACAACACAATGGGAAGATCCAAGACTTTCAAATCCTAATATTGCTGGACAAGCTGTACCCTATTCTAGAGATTACAAACAAAAGTATGAATACTTTAAGAGCCACCTTAGAAAACCAGTAAGTTTTTTCTTTACACTTCCTGTTGTATGAATTAAGAAAATTAACAATTTGGAATTTTGTTTTATTTTAGACAAATGTACCGAATAAATTTGAAATTCGTGTACGAAGAACATCCATACTGGAGGATTCTTATAGAATTATTAGCCAAGTAACTAAAACTGATTTACTAAAGACCAAATTATGGGTAGAATTTGAAGGAGAAACAGGTTTAGGTAAATATATTTTTGTTAAAATATGTAATGTTTAAAAAGGTGTAATATATAAATTTTGTAAATTTACTTTTAGATTATGGTGGTCTAGCTAGAGAGTGGTTTTATTTATTGTCTAAAGAAATGTTTAATCCATATTATGGCCTATTTGAATATTCAGCCATGGACAATTACACTTTGCAAATTAATAATGGCAGTGGTTTGTGCAATGAAGATCATTTGCACTATTTCAAGTAAGTTTAAGCTGAAATTAAAGTATTAAAGTGACATCTAATGAGTTTTACTTTTATATTTAGATTTATTGGCCGTATTGCTGGTATGGCAGTTTATCATGGCAAATTACTTGATGCCTTTTTCATACGTCCTTTCTACAAAATGATGTTACAAAAGCCTATTGATCTAAAAGATATGGAATCGGTTGATACCGAATATTATAATTCCCTTATGTGGATTAAAGAAAATGATCCCAGACAATTAGAGTTAACATTCTGTGTGGATGAGGATATATTTGGACAAAAGAGCCAGCATGAATTGAAGGGAGAAGGCGCCAATATTGAAGTTACCAATGAAAACAAAGATGAATATATTAAGTAAGTTTACTTAACTCCTAGTTAATTAGTTTTAATACTTATGCTTTTATTTTGTTTCGTTTTAAAGGCTGGTTATTGAATGGCGTTTTGTGGCCCGCGTTAAAGAACAAATGACCGCCTTTTTAGATGGTTTCGGTTCAGTGATTCCTTTAAATTTAATTAAGATTTTCGACGAACATGAGTTGGAGCTATTGATGTGTGGTATTCAAAATATCGATGTTAAAGATTGGCGTGAGAATACTTTGTACAAAGGCGACTATCATCAAAATCATATTATTATACAATGGTTCTGGCGTGCCGTCCTCTCATTCTCAAACGAAATGCGTTCACGTTTGCTGCAGTTTGTAACGGGTACATCACGTGTGCCCATGAATGGTTTTAAGGAGTTATACGGTTCGAATGGACCTCAAATGTTTACGATCGAAAAGTGGGGTACACCTAATAATTTTCCTCGAGCTCATACATGGTAAGTTGGGATGATGTTTTCTTTTATTAGGAAGTTTTTTTTTCGTATTTTTACCAAAAATACTGTTTTTCAATCCAATAATTTTCAAAAAACTGAATTTTGTTAAAAACAAAAAAGGAAACTCAGCCAGTATTTTTAAGAAATTTCCGTTTTTTACAAAATACTAGTTTTTAAAACAAAACCCAGTATTTTGAATAAAATACTAGTTTTTCAGCAATACCCTGTATTTTAAATATTTAAACAAAATATTTATATTTCATCAAAATGCTGGGGTTTTTAAACAAAATATTGTTTATTTTAAACAAAACCCACTATTTTGGGCAAAATAATAGATTTTGAACACAATACTGGTTATTAAACAAAATACTGGTTTTAGAACGAAATGCAGCTTTCTTAACAAATTACGTGGTTTTAAACAAAATACTGGTTTTTAAACAAAATACTGGTTTTTAAACAAAATACTGTTTTTTAACAAAATACTGGTTTTTAAACAAAACCCACTATTTTCAACAAAATGCTAGGTTTTGAACACAATACTGGTTTTTGAACAAAATACTGGTTTTTAAACAAAACACTATTTTTTAAACAAAATACTATTTTTTAAAACAAAACCCACTATTTTCAACAAAATACAAGGTTTTCGAACACAACTGGTTATTAAACAAAATACTGGTTTTTGAAAAAACAAATTCAGGTTTCTTAACAAGCTACTGGATTTTAAACAAAATACTGTTTTTTAACAAAACTCACTATTTTGAGTAAAATACTAGGTTTTGAACACAATACTGGTTATTAAACAAAATACTGGTTTTTGAACAATATGCTGCTTTCTTAACAAATTACTGGGTTTTTAACAAAATACTGGTTTTTAAACAAAATACTGGTTTTTTTAAAAAACCCACTATTTTGAGAAAAATACTATGTTTTGAACACAATACTGGTTATTAAACAAAATACTGGTTTTTGAAAAAAACGCAGCTTTCTTAAGAAAACATTGGTTTTTAAACAAAATACTGGTTATTAAACAATATACTAATTTTCAGTGTTTTGGTTATTGAATGAAAAAAATTGCAAACAAATTTAGTCCATTTCGAATGCTGTGGAATGCGTTCCACGAAATTTTTAGTTATACATCATTATCATTTGAATAGTATAATTAATAGAAATTATTTTAATTTCATATTTCTTAATTTTAGTTTCAATCGTTTGGATTTACCCCCCTATGAAGGTTATTTACAATTAAAAGATAAACTAATCAAGGCTATCGAAGGTAGTCAAGGATTTGCTGGTGTTGACTAATATTTTGTTCAACAAATGTCTGGACATGCATCACAAAACTATGTACGTTTAGAAAAACGTTGTCTACCACTTTATTGTATGTTGATTTTAATAAAATCTCATTTTGATAATGCTGTCAGTGAATATGTACTATACTATATTAAACTAAGTGTACAACGAATACTAAATAATATAAAAAATAATAATAATAATAATAATAATAATATAATAGACAACAGATGCGTAATTACTACGTGGCCTTTTCCATATAACTATTGTACTTAAAAGAAATGTATTTGTTCTTTTTTTCCAAACTGTTTTTTCTACTTTTTCTTTTCTTTTTTTAATTCCAAAACTATGTAAGTAAGTATGTACAGAGATATGTATGGCTGTATGGAAATGTTGATAGTTTTAGTTATTATAGATAGAAATCATAAAAAAAACTGAAATATTTATTTATTAAACATACTTAGACAAGCATCAGCATATTAGTAAGAAGAGGGGCATAACTTGAACAACAAAAATTCTTTAAATTAATTCTATATAAATTGCCTTAATTGGAGAAGATAATTTTGTAAATTGTATTAATATTACACATTCATACTTGCTTATTATTTAAAATAATGCCAAAAACCCCCTTGAAAACTTCTTTCAAACCTACATTCATACATATTTTTGTATATCATCATGATTATGTATAACAGACGATAAGACATTGAATGATATTTTTTTTTAACTTAACCATCAATCAATTTATTTCACTTTTTTTTTTTGATTCGTTATGTAAACTATTTTGCCCTATATTTAACTTTATTTTATTATATTTTATTCTGTACGTTTTTTTTTGTTGTTTTCTGTAGTTAAAATTGTGAATCAAAATATTATGATTACTATAATATATAGTTAAATCAATTTTTATTTTATATACGAATGTTAACTGTGAACGCGTGTTTTAAAACTAAATTCTATAATAAAAGTATAAAAAATATGTATTGTATTTGATTATTACGCCTATAATATTAAAACTAAACTATATATATATAAAACAAACAAACCTATAAATCAAAGAGAAAAAAAGAATTTATAATAACAAAAACCAATAAATCTATACACATGTATTTCCTATTTCCAAATACTAATAATTTTTATGCAGTTATAATTTAAACATTTGAATGAGAATATTGATTATTAACAAAATTAGCAATATTGAACAAATAAAATACAAACACGATTTGAAACAAAAAAATTTTTTAAATTTAAACTGAAATTTAAATATTAAAAAAAAGTTTTAAACAATAATCATTTCTTAATTTTTTGACAAATCGTGTTTTCTAAAAAAAAACTACATAATTATGTAAATACACATTCCTAAATATGCTGCATATATATATATAAAAAATTTATTTCACTGCATTGTATTTTTATAATAATTATAAGTTATTTAATAATAAACACTTCTTATACATACTATTTAATCATTAATAAAACTTCGTTACGTTTCTTATATAGTTAGTTATTAAAAAAAAAAAACAATTGAAAAAATCTTTGAATTGCTCTACCCCTCTCTCATACACTGCACATATTTAAATACATAAGTTGAAACTAGGGATTTCATACTAACGAAACTAATACTATTTTTAAACTTTAAAAAAATGGTATTTATTTGAAAGTTTCTTTTAATAATTTTTAAACTAAATGCAATAAATTGCTTTTATTAAAATTTATTTAGTTTTGTTTAACAACTTATCTCTATGAAATTCAGGTGAGTGTTTTGTAAAATTTTGGTTTTTAAAGTAATTTCATAAAAATTTGCTTTTTTATCAAAAAAAATTTTTGATTTTCGAGACGCAAAATATAATTGGAAATGTTTTGTTCAAATTGAATTAATTTTATTCTTAAAATCGCCAATACTATTGTTGTTCTTGTAACAGTTCGACTGTACCGTTTAGTTCATTCCTAGGGGAAAAACTTTCGCTTGTTGTTGTTGTTGTTGTAACAGCTAAAACTATACAATAATCTAGTTGGGGATTCTACTTCAAAGTCCATGCCTAAAAATTGAGCTACTTCAACTGGATGTGTCCATAAATCCATTGGACGGAGTGAAGTGGGGTTGGCTGGGCAGTTGAATATGTGGTGTGTGTCATGGGGACCCTGACCACATGAAGGACATTCGTTATGGACAGTACGGTCTATACGGTGCCAGTAGGCTTTGAGTCCGTTGCTCGATCTACGTACCGGAATGACCCGAATTATTCGGCCAAAGGCTGTCAACCCCAGCAACAACAATACTTTCGCTTTTTATAGCTCGTATCATTCCGAAGCGAATATTAAATTGTCGTGAGAACGATTCAGTCTTTGTTTCATTAATCGTGCAACTCGTACGAATGTCAAAAAGTGGCAATAACAAAAAACTTACAGTTTTCACAACATTTTATACCAATTAAAAGACTCGCAGTAGAAATTTCACCCCTGTTGTAGATACATTTAGTATTTCAACCCTTTTTAACAAAAAAAAAAAAAAAAAACATATTTTTTCATTATTTATTTTAGAGACTTTATTATTTAAATTACTGATTACAACATTTGTATTCTTAAAAATAGTTTTTAATATGAATTCAATTAAACGCTGATTATAATATTTCCACAGTCATAAACTATTTTTTTGGTCAATTTATACCTTAAATATCCAATTTAAAAAAAAGTTATTGCTAAACATGGTTTTTAGTTATTTCAATCTCATTACCTCTCTATATCTAAAAAGAGTTCAAGTAAAATTGCAACACTTTTGAAGTAATTAAAGAAATTTGAATTTACTTTGTCAATATTTAGAGGAGATAGCGCCAAGTGTGTTGCAATTAGAAAAAAATTGTAATAAAATATGTATCGCAAATATGAATTTTAATGAAAACTAAATACTTGTTCAATTTATAATCGATGTCGTAGCATTGTTAAGTTGTAAGTCGTAATTTGTTTACTATAGGCAAAAATAACATACATACAAAGATACAACGCTATGATAGCGATTATGAATTGGAAAAATATTCTTTTTATAATAAACTAAGGGTTTAACTCCATAGTACAATTGCAAGAAAATACTTACGAAATTTAGAAAATGTATATCAAGCTTCAAATGAAGCTAAATATTGTAATGTCAACTAAGAGGAGGTCTTCCAGAAATATGTGAAGAAAATAGCAAATATTAGTTTATGCGTTTTATCTGTTTTATTTGTTTCTATTATAAAATACACATGTTTGTATAATCCTTTAAGAATAAGTAGAAAATAACAACAAAAAAACTTCTATATGACTTTTTTCAAAATTAAAGGTTTATTATAAACTGTAATTTCTTTTTCTTCCAATAAAAATATAAAAACTTAAAAGGTTTAATATTTTGAAAATAAAGAAAACTACAACTGTATAATTAATTTCCTAACAATTGTGTTAATGCATTTTACTTAATACATTTTATATATTTAAGATGAAATTCACGTAAAAAAATATTGTTGTTATTATTACGAAATGAAATTAAGAATCTGCTATTATAATATGGAAATCATAAATACGTACCATGAAAAAAGTATGAAGGTAAAGCAATCTTGAGAAACGTGGACTTATAAACTAATATCCGCTCTTTAAGATACATTAATACATACATACATATAAATACGTAACGTCCCTGCTATCCCCAACCTTCTCAATGAAGTTTCTTTCATTTTTTTTGTAATAAAGTTAATCGGCTGAGAAGATACACATACAGTAAAAAGTACTTGTAAAAATTTGTAGCACATTTATAGAGGTTTATAATAAAATAAATCATCATTCATCAACAGCATCTTTTTCTTAAATATGTAGTAATAGAATACATACCCAACTGTGATATGGAATAGTCGCCATCTATTTAAATATTAAGCAAAAAGTCTGTACTCACATGTTGGTTTATTCTTGAAGATGAAGAAAAACTAATGTGAAAACAAGTTGTTTTGTTTTGTACATACGTACCAATGGACGAAGAGGATGGGTGGGCGAACAACCTAATCATGTCAACAAGTGTACATTTTCAGCTCAAAATGCTATAAAATACATTATCGTAGGATTAAAGTAGAAATTCGGTACTTTTTGTTTGTTTTATTTTTTAATTCTAACAACTATGTATGTATGTAAAGCTTATTGCTCACCATTCATATTACAAAGAAGATAACATCACTGCCACGGTTATACGTACCCAATAACTAAACTATCATTCAATCAATCAATCAATCTCATAGAGTGTCTTAAAAACGCTGTATGCGTATGCTGGCTGAAATGACAAAGTTTGTTTACGTTTGTTTTGTTTCTTATTTCCTTACCAACAATCAGCTCTAATTTATACAATGGTGGATTATCTAATAACCAACTGGCTGTAGGGCTAGCTTGGCCTTGGATAGATGGCTTATTTTAGTATGAGAGAAAAAATGGTTGTAAATAAAGATTATTAAGTTCCCAAAAATACATATTTATCATTCTAATATTAACCCCGTAAAATAGTTTTTGTTTTAAATACATACAGTTTGCAATTTGTCTATGAAATTTATATGCTTCAAATGTTTGCGATTTTTTTTTTAATTTTTTCCTTCCATTATCTAAAGAAATGTTATTTTGCTTTATTTCAACATAATTCAAGAAATTAAAATGTCCAATTATGAAAAAAGTAAAATAGTAGTGAATAAATTTATATCTAAGAGAAAAATTATCTGTGTGTTTGCTTAGAAAATTAAAAAATAAAATAATTATTAAACAACGTTAAGTTTGTGAATTTAAAAGCAATTCGAAATTTACATACGTGCTATATAAAATGATGCCTACGGTAAAAAAAGGTGTTTCGCCAGGTTCGAAACTTCATCTGCTACTGGATGTGTCACGTCTTATGCCAAAGTAATTATATCTGTAAACAAAATATTTGAGAAAACGACAAAATTTTATATTTTTCATGTTAAATATACCTGTACGACATTTCCAGCAATCACATTTGTTAGTTAAATCTTAAATAAATTAAACTAACGGCGATGGCGATCACGTGAATTTGATCTTCTCCGGGAGTTGAAGCTACGTCCACGGGAGCGTGATCGAGATCTTCTACGATCGGAGCCACTACGTCCGCTGTTCCTATTGCGGTCAGAATCACTCTCACGATTATCCCGATCTCTACGATCCGAACGACTAGTCGTACTGGGGCCATCGGGACGACGCTGTCGTTCGCGAGAACGAGACCGATGAACACGTGAACGGCGATCCAATTCACGACCACCGACAAAGAAACGTGAACGTGATCGATCATCATCGCGTTCATGGATCTTGCCCGTACGCTTCAGTTCAGCCTTGCGTGGCCCGGCTGTCTTCTCCAAATCGGCTAATTTTTCTCTTATGGTTAAAAATCCCAAATGCAACTTACCGCCAAAGTGATCTGCTAATCTGATATCGTTATCATGGATACCCAAGTAGGCTGAACAAACTTCACAAACACGTAATTTTTGCTGTTGATATGTTGATGCTGGCATTGATGTGCGGTACTCATGTTCGGCTTTAATTTTCTTAGCTCGTAGCTCATCGATTTCTTTCATTAGGGACATACTCTCTTCCACCTCGCCGGCTTCTCCCAGGGCCTCAGCTTTGGCCAACTTCTTGCCAATCTCCTCGGCTAAAGCATGTACTGCATTTGCTTTCTCTGCCACTTCGGCCGTTAGTTCCTCTTGTGTTTCCTTTAGACGTTGCTTGGCTGCTTCGGTGCGTCTATCGCAGTCCGCTATAAATGCCTGCAAATGTTCCATTGCCTCAATGTCATAATAGTAATCCCGAGATTTTGCTGCACTTTGATAATCTGCTCGAAATGCTAAATCATGAACTTTAGGACAATCTCCTAAATCCATACGAGTGGATGCTAGTATGTCGTGAGGACAGCAGTCCAATAAAAAACTTTTACACACACGGGGGTCTGAAAATTTAAGTCCTCGGCCATCGTCTCCATTGCGTGTAGTACCCATTAGCTGGTCGAGCATTGCTCTCATTTGATCTGTAGCCGACATTTTATATTTCTAAATTGTTACGATAACAATCAATTATTTATATTTTCTTATAATTTTTTCCAATTATTCAACGTTTGCATTAAAATTTTTTAGATGTCTACATTAAAAGTCGCTGTCAAAAAGCAATGTCACTGAAGAAAAAAAAAATGATGGTGTTAGTATTGCCAACTACTTTTGGCATTTTTTTTTTTTTTTTGACAGCTACACACAGAAAAAAAATTGAGTTAATTGTACTGTTAGAAGATTGATAATTTAGATATTACTATATGAATTAAGATTTTCAAGTTTTCAAGTTTTGAGAACATGAAGTGTATGATGTCGTCTTAGTGGTAAACAAAGAATAAATAAGAAATGAAACTGTTGTCAAAAGTACCTAAGTCTACTGTCATCCGGTACCTAACTCTAAGAATGTATTAGTAGAATTCTCAAGTCAACATAGTTGCAAAAAATCGTATTGAAAAATATTGAAAAAAAATATTACATTTCAATTTATACTTTGAAAGGTTTCTTAAGATATTTTCCACATATTTTATCTACAAACATTTTATAAACACGTCTATTTCTTTTTTAATCTATAATATTGAAAAAATAAATTATTTATTTGAAATATCTTTTTCGTTTACCATACGAAAATTTACAACATTGTTTTTTTTTAGTTTTAATTTCAACCAACAAAAATTCAATGTCAAAAAATAAAAAATATTTTTTTTTCGTTTGTAAAAAATATATTATTTTCGGGCTATTAAATGTGTTTAAATTGTGCAAAAAAATTATAAAATATAATGTTAAGTGATAAAAAATATTTCAAAGTGCTATTATCCTCAAAGTTTCGCGAAAAAGTTTTGAAGTTTGGAGAGAGAATAAAATTTTTACATATGTGTTGGATTTACACAGTACTCGTCTGTGAGAAGAGCGTAATGTTATTGTTGTAAAAAAATGACAGCGTTTCACTTCTTGTTTATTCTTTGGTGGTAAACATGAATTTGAATATTAAACGATTTTTTTACCAAAAAAAATTTATTAAAAATATTAAGTGGAAGCATATCATGGTTGGTAAATGGTTATCGTTGAAAAAGTAATGGTTATGTTCATTTCGGTAATGAAATTATAGTAGGCTTCTATAGTTGAAACGAAAAGTCGACTTTTTGCATTTAGTTAAAAGTCGACTTTTCGACCTTTCGACTTTTTCCATTTTATGAAAAGTCGATTTTTCGACTTTTCGACCTTTTTCATTTATTTAAAAGTCGACTTTTAGACTTTTCGACTTCTAGTATTTTATAAATGGTCGACTTTTCGACTTTTCCCGACTTTTTTCGACTTTTTCCGACATTTTCCGACTTTTTTCGACTTTTCGACTTTTTTCGACTTTTCGACTTTTTTCGACTTTTCGACTTTTTTCGACTTTTCGACTTTTCCGACTTTTCGACTTTTCGATTTTTTACGACTTTTTGACTATTTTCGACTTTTTTTCGACTTTTTTCGACTATTTTTTTACTTTTTTCGAGTTTTTCCGACTATTTTAGAGTTTTTGACCTCATTTCCACTTTTTTAAAATTTTCGACTATTTTCGACTTTTCGACTTTTTCCGACTTTTCGACTTTTTCCGACATTTCGACTTTTTTCGACTTTTTTCGACTTTCTTCGACTTTTTTCATAGACGATAGTTATCGACTTTTTTGGAACAAAATAGTCGACTTCGACATTTCGACTTTTTTCGACAAAAAGTCGATTGTTCGATTATTCGAAAGTCGATTTATAGAACCCTAAATTATAGTGTATATGTTCACGTTATTTTGGCTTATTTCGGAATGGTATTTTAGTGTGTTTTGAAAGATTGTACAGACTTTACAGACACAGTCGGCAGAATTAACACGCCGAATATTTATAGAAAATATTCAAAGCTTAAATAATAAACAAATAATAGATGGATCCGAAAAAGAGTCGCAGAACGTTTTGTATATATGTATATATATATATAATATGTTTGTGTAGAATTTTATTCTCGTTATTAGTTCTCGAGTCATATAAAATTAATTTTTAAGTTAAAAAAATAAATGTTATTTTAAGTGGTTTTGGGAATTGGAGTTTATATGCATGAAATGGGGTCTATATGAAATTTTGAACCGATTCAAATAATTTTATACAATATTAACTTTTGTGACAAAATCTGTTAAAAAAAAGCTGCTAGGAGTTTCTGAAAAAACAATCGAGAATATTTTCTTAATATTTTTATGGATTGATACGGAATCTCATATCTCGGTATTTATGGATAGATTTTACTGATTTTAAATATCGATTTTCTCGAAAACACATGTGAGATAGATAATTGAAGATTGGGACCTGGCAGATATCTAGTATCTTTCGAAAACTGATTTTAGCAAACATACGGACATAGTTAAACCTACTCCGCTATATAGAATGACTTGGAATATATACTTTATAGGCTCGAAAAATTACATTGTAAAATTACAAAAGGTCGTTTGGCAATTTCGTAAATATATAATTTGTACACAAATGTTTAACAACTTGAGCCATTAATAGTTAAAATACAAATCGGATCTTGCGTTTACTACTAAGAATGTGTTCCAAAAATAGAAAAATTAAGACATGGAATACTTAATAAATCAATTCTAACCATTTGTATGTTAGACATTTACAACTGGACTGAATGTGTAACTAAATATTTTATACCATTTATTTGCAATAGATCTCACAGCAAACATTAGTATCAATGTACCTTCATAACAAACGACGTACCTAAAATGGATAGCAAAAAATGAATGTGGTCAAATAATTTTTTTTAGGAAACAATAAATCTGTATTATTTCAAGTGGGGATTTACGTTTCGACACATATTTATCTCTAATGACAAGTATAAAAAATAAGTTATCTTTCAAGTAGTTAGGAAAATAGCACAATATTAAGTGTACGGTTTAATTTGAGACTACTGTTTTTATTCATTTACCAATTTTTCATAGAAAAATATCAATACTATGCGTTCGCGTGTGTGTTTATCAGTAAAATGTATATTAAATACGTACATTTTAGCCTTTTATCAGATGGCATTTAAGAATTGGGAAAAATTCATTCTTATTTCGATCATTGCCATTTTTTTTTAGCTAACTGCACAGTGTTTTCATTAGAAAATATATAGGGATTAATTTCAAAATGCTTAATATTATATCTTTAAATATTTCTTTAAAATAGTAACATTTCTCAATGTAATGTTGTTACTAAAATATTCTATAATGGTTCATTGGATTTTTATAGTTTTTGCAAACTAAAATTTACAAATTCTCATAATTTATGGGATTAAAATAAACTTTTTTAAATCAAACGTACGAAAATATACAAAATTTTATTTTTGACAAAAATTCGTTATGCAAAATTCTCAGAACAGAAATCTGTTTAGTAATTGATTCATTGCGATTACAAAAAATCTAAAAGTTATCGGGAATAATAAGAAAGAATCAGGAGCAGCCGAATTTATTTTTATTTTGTTGTACATACATATGTATGTACTTCTTAATATATTACTAATCATGAGAAATATTAATTACTTACATATAAAATAAAAATAATCTAATTTCTAATGATTATGATTATTAATCATTACTTAATCGCCTTGATTTCAGCGGATAAGATAGTTTCGTGTAAGTTTTTAACTATAACTATTTATGCTACAAGTTTGAGTATATAAGGTGAGATATGTTTGTCGTAAATTCAGTAGTCAATTCGTTGCATTTTGACAATGAAAACCTTTATTGCTCTAAGTTTGTTCGTAGCTATTGCCTCAGCTGGCATTATGCCTGCTGTTGAGCAACGTCTTCCCTTGGTACCTGTTATGCCATTGGAAGAATTGGAAGGTCGTATTACCAACGGTGAACTCGCCAAACCTGGTCAGTTTCCCTATCAAGTTGGTCTAAGTTTGGTTTTCGGTAACAAAGGTGCCTGGTGTGGTGGTACTTTGATTTCCAACCGCTGGGTATTGACTGCTGCTCATTGTACCGATGGTGCTGATGGTGTTACTGTTTACTTGGGTGCTACTGACATCAAGAACGATAACGAAAAGGGTCAACAAAGAATCTACTCCTCCAAATCTTACATTGTTGTACACGCCGACTGGGATGCCAGCACCATGTCCAACGATATCTCCTTGATCAAATTGCCTGTACCAATCGAATTCAATGATCTCATTCAACCTGCTACTTTGCCTAAGATGGATGGTAAATACTCTACCTATGTAGGTGAAATGGTTTGGGCTTCTGGCTGGGGTCGCGATAGTGATGCCGCTACCGGTGTTTCTCAATTTCTTCGTTATATCGAAGTTCCCGTCATGAAACAATCCACCTGCAAAACCTTTTATTTGGGTTCAGTAACCGATAAGATGATTTGCATTAAGACAGTTGATAAGAAATCCACTTGCAATGGTGACTCTGGTGGTCCTTTGGTCTATAAGGACGGTGATGTTAACTATGTTATAGGTGCTACCTCATTCGGTATTCTTTTGGGTTGCGAAAAGGGTTGGCCTGGTGTATTCACCAGAGTTACTTCCTACTTGGATTGGATCGAAGAGATTTCTGGTGTTGTCAACAAATAAATAGTATTAAGTAAACTAATAAAATAATGTTTTAAATAGAAACAAAAAGTGAAATCACATTTGTAACTTTTATTATGAGTCACTTTAACACTTTGGCGGGTAAATTGTGGAAAAAGTTTGTGTTGGCAATAATAATAACTTCGGTACAAATAACAGTTCTTAACTGTCTACGACTTGCATAAACTCTAGCCTTTATTGTATCCATTTCGATTTCCACAAATTAAATGAACTTATCCACCATTTAGAGGATCCATTAAGGAATATGATGACATTCCATTTTGAAAAAAATCCATCTGTAAGTAACAACTGTTCAGGTGATGTAGGAGTAAAATGTATCAAAAAATCTAATACATTTAAGTTTTATTTCGATATCGAAATGTGTTTTAGAAGCCATGAACTTTTTCTAGTACAGATCAGAAATCTATAAAATCGGTTTCAGTCCGAATCTGGCATTCGAAAATCAATTTTTCGATGTTGTTTAAAAATCCAATCTGTCTACTTTGAAATGAAGGTCATATCTTCTTATTTTAACATAA